AGTGTCAATTCTGTAGGAGGATTTTATGAATGCGGTATCATCAGCGAATAGTGAAAGTTCAACTTTATTTTTAATAATTGTTTGGAGATAGTAAGATGTGTTTCGTAGTTTTAAATTAATTTCAGGTTTTTAGTTGAGATAAAAATCAGTGTCCTGGGCGGAATTCGAACCTATGACCACTTTATAGGCTGAAGATGACCCCAATAAGGTCGAAACGTCGGAAAAAATTGTAAAAGGTGTTTTTTTAACTATATCAATTTTTCCCATTCCGTGAGACTTCAAAAAACTATTTTAAAACAATTAATTAAGGTTTTTTAGTTGAGATAAAAAAGTCAATGGCACGAGCGGGATTCGATCCCACGATTTTCGGCTGGATACGCCGCTGCTCTACCACCTTAGCTATCGTGGCTTCGATCCACTCGGACACTAACTTCCCATATCAACCCCTCCGTTTGAATTTTCCCTCCTTTTTGCCATTTTTCAAATATCGTGTAATCTGATTCTCGGCTTTTTATCTCAATAAAAATCTTAATTAATTGAATGATATTAATTGGACAGGTGAACCACAAAAACTAGTGAGTTTAATAGTTTCCTACTTTATTGATATCTTCTTCTTTGCCTTGTGTTGTCCGCATTTCAATAAAAACGTTCTCTGATTGATAGCGGTTGCAAGTTTTTTGTCATTGTCGAAACCAAACGATGGCACGAAAAAAGAAAATGTTTTTATAAAACCTACGTCACAGCAGAATGCATCTCACGATCTCCAAATGATCATTAACTAACGGTCGCTAAAAATCACACATTTCTACACGAAAAGAACGAAGAACATGGGATTCTATGAACAGATTTCAACTACATATAGACACCAAGCAAAAAGTAATCTGAAGACATAGCCAATAATGAGAAAAAAACTTGTATCGGCTATCAACCAGAGAAGTTTTTTGTTTAAATGCAGACAACACTAGGCCCTGAATATGATCTCAATAAAGATCGTAACTTTGGCACGATAAAGGAAAATGTTTTTTATAAAACCTATGTCACACCAGACCGCATCTCACGATCTATATGTATTTATATGTATATATATATATGAAGATGTATAGTACATGATGTATATATAAGTATATTTATATATATATATATTTTTTTTTTTTTAAATTGAGATATAAATAACTGGTTGTGAAGGAATATCAGAAGATTGTTCTTTGTTCAATTGATGCTTTGCGGTTTTTCAAGTTCTAGCTTAATTTTTCATCATAATTTAAGCCGAAATTGAAAAAACGTGAGTGAAAGTTTAGAAATTGTATTAATCAGTGTTGTTTTTGCGAAATTTGCACACCAGGTCTAAAAATAGGTCCAAAAAAATTCAATATTTTTTAACTTTGATATATTAAAATCTCTAAATTTTGTGTTTATTATTTTACAATTGTAGTAGACCAAGAACCTGGTAATTTTTTTTAAGGTTTGTGAATGTTACTTTTATCCTCCCGGACCAAGGATTCAAATGGACTGCCCATTTTTATGGAGAAAATCTAGTATTACAGAAATTTCTCCATTATTTTTCCATTTGTATTTCTGGATATTTATTTTTATCTCGCTGCTATGTTGACGGTAAACATGCTCAGAAAAAACTTTTTCACTCTCTAAAATACTTGTCTTTTGTCAATTTCATACCTGTTTTCATTACATTACACTTGTGTGTTTTTGTACCAGGATAATTACGGTGTTCGATCGTTCAATTTGGCAAAATAGGTATAACAAAAGAAAAATATTCACAGGGATAAAAACATGACTAGTATTTTCTAAACGTTTTTTGACCTGATAACCAATTAACTTTTTTCGTCCCATTCTGGTATGATAACAATTTTGCCCAACAAGGTTTACACCCGTCAATTAAGTCTGTTTGTACCAATCTCGTGCGAGAGTTGATTAATATTTGAAAACGGGCTTGTAAAACTGAGGAATAATATAGAAAACCTGGAATTTCCAATCATGTATCAGTTTTAATTAAACAAGTAAAATGGAAAGTCATAAATGGCAGTATTTGTTGTTACAGTTAATCAGCCTGACCGTTAAAAATATTACTTTGTTGGTACCATAAATAAAAGTTTGGTGTATTTTTAAGTTATTACTTTACTTCATTAGAAAAACAAACACTTCATTTAATATGATAATAAAATTAGCTGGCATTTTTATATGTTAAATTTGGTCGGTCAAACTTTACTTTAGAGAGATCTTCACAAAAAAAATCTTTATCATTTCTTATTGTACTCCCAATCTATTTATTTATGATTAAGTCTGGGATGAGTGTGTGACATCAGGAAAGTAAAAGTATGTTATTAACGAGAATGGAGTGGGTTCAACGCCTCCCTGAAGAATATCGTGTACTTTGGGGTGAGGGTATGACGTCTGGAGAGTAAAAGTAAGTTATTAGCGAGAATTGAATGGGTTCAACGCCTCCCTGAAGAATATCGTGTACTTTGGGGTGAGTGTGTGACGTCTGGAGAGTAAATGTAAGTTATTAGCGAGAATGGAGTGGGTTCAACCCCTCCCCGAAAGTATCGAGTACTCTGGGGTGAGCGTGTGACGTCTGGAGAGTAAAAGTAAGTTATTAGCGAGAATGGAGTTTATTCAACCCCTCCCCCGAAGAATACCGTGCACTTTGGGGTGAGGGTATGACGTCTGGAGAGTAAAAGTAAGTTATTAGCGAGAATGGAGTGGGTTCAACCCCTCCCGGGAGAATATCGAGTACTTTGGGGTGAGTGTGTGACGTCTGGGGAGTAAATAATGAAAGTATGTTATTAGCGAAAATGGAGTGGGTTCGACCCCTCTCCGAAGAATATCGCGTATTCTGGGGTGAGTGTGTGACGTCTGGAGAGTAAACGTAAGTTATTAGCGAGAATAGAGTGGGTTCAACCCCACCCCAAGTAATACCGAGCACTCTGGGGAGGAATGTGACCAGTCTTTTATATTTATGCCGGGTGGTGATATATGTATATGTAATGTATGTTTTGTGTCTGTTCCGTAGTTGAAGACCTGAGGTACAAATGAGAGGCTAAGCATTTTATGATATCAACGTAATACAGCATAAAGCATATAGAGTATATTATAGCATATATTACAGATAGTCTGTAAACAGATTGAGACGATCAAATGGCTGCAGTTAAAAAAAAGAGCAAGAACGAAGGAAAATACGCAGTGGGCCAGCGATAGCCTCAGATGTTTGTCGGCCGCTAAACCTCTCATATTATTTGTAATGTGTGTTTTTTTAGGGACAGGTTCTTTAATAATTTGTTGTAATGATGTCTTCTCAAATCAAGAATGAGGTAGGTTAGAAATGCACCTTTTTCATTTTTTCCGACGTTTTGATTACAAGTTGATTGTACTTACACTGACTTTTCAAAAACTATTGGTAGTGTTGATCATACGATTCTACTAGAGAAATTAGAAAAATTAGGCATACATGGTAACATATTACGTTGAATCGCGTCATATATAAATGGTCGAATGCTCAAAGTAAAATTAAAATCGTTATTGTCGCATAATTTTCTAGCAACTTCTGGAGTGCCTCAAGGGCTGCACTTAGGTCCGTTTCTGTTTAAAATCTGTACAAACGATATCGCTGATTCTCCATCTGTTATGACTTTACTTTTTTCAGAGTAAAACTATTCCTAAAAATTAATTCTGTTTCTGACTGTGTAAACCTTGAACATGGCTTAGTAAAACTTAATAATTGGTGTTCAACTAATAATATTCTTTTAAATTCTGACAATATTCAGTTAAGACATTCCATAAAACAAAATAACCTATCAAATTTACCTTTGTTATACCAGACTCGCTTCTAATTAGATATGAAATTGTTAAAGATTTTGGCATCATTATTGACAGTCAGAGAAACTTTCAGAACACACATTCATAAAACCATTCCTAATGCAAATAAAACTTTAGTATTTATTACACGTCATACTAAACATTTCCATGATCCAGATATACTGAAATTTTAGACACTTCCACTGAAAAACCAATATTAAATTACTGTCCACAGCTTTGGATTTCAATCCACCCAAATGACATTTACGATTATTTTGTGGAGAAGGTAGTTCTTTGATTGTATATTATTGTATAAATTAGTACATTTTTTAACTGATTGCCCTTTACTGTTTAATCGAATTAACTTTCATGTTCCATCTTATTATTCCAGAAGTCGAATAATATTCTCCAACTATTGCCACCGAACAACTTTGACAAATTCAGTTATTTACGAAGAAGAACAAATTCGTTAAACTCGTTCGAAAATATATTTAATGTTTGGTGTTTACTGACCGATCGTTAATGATTATTTCAAGATCGTGAGACGTTAGAAAAACATTTTTTTTTATCGTGCCAACGTTTCGATTTTTTTTTAGATCATCTTCAGGGCTCAAAGTATTTGTTTTTGTGTTAAAAGTGATATATTTAATGTCAGTTTAAGCAAATTTAGGCAAATTTTATTATTAGAAAATTAAATATTGTATCATTAATATAATTATTATTGAATTTCATTATAATTAATAATTGATAATTATGTAGTGTTAATGCATATTTCACATTGTTTCTATTCATTCTAAATTGTTTGTTTAATTGTTTTTTTATTGTTATAAATATTTCTTAATTTATGTAAAATTATAGCATTAATACTTTTATTGTATTCATTTGTAATTGGGAAACCGTAAATAAATAAATGTGTGAAAGCACTGAAGATGACCAGAATAAAGGTCGAAACGTCGGCAAAAAAGTAAATTTTTTTCTAAACTATCTCATTCTTGACTCTCTTCACAAATACAACAAATTTATTGATAATATGATAAGAGGGTATCATTGTGGTTAAACCTAATAGAGGAGGGCTGATTAACCCTAAAACAGACCCCTAAAATCGACAAAACATGCACACTGACCTGGTTTCTTTTCAGGAAAGAGTACATTATACTACTTATTTATTTAATGGTTAAAAAAAATTTCAGATTGTTGGAGGACGGACGGTTTGCCAAATAGAAGACCAGGCCGTTTTGGCGATTATAACTGTGATTCACCATGGGCTCTTGTAGAATCTGCTGCCAAAGCGATGAGGGCAAAGCACGGCGATAATATCGAGTTCGTTTTGTGGACAGG